GTTTTGATCCGATTTTGTGGGTGTGCAAATCTACTTTGTGTTTTTTTAGTCATTTGTTGGAATATAGGATTTGTATCCTATAAACCCCCCTCTGACTCATCTTCTGAGGAGTCATCAGTCGAATCAGGCTTTGAATCATCTGCTTGTAGGGAGTCGTCAAATGTACTTGATTCAAGTTCGATCGCTTTTTCACTTTTCGATGATGCATGATTGTGTTCATTCACCATTGTACCCTATAGTGGTGTGGGGCTTAGGGGTTAAAATGAACAGTTGATTTACCCACGCCCAAAAAAGATTAATGGAAGCTTATAACGATGAGGAAAAACACGGATAATTTTAACAAAACAAGATAAGGAATTTATTTACGAATTTACACGCTTGAAGTTGTGTCAGTAGCTAGTTTCAAGAAAATAAATCATAAATTTTTAAAATCCGTATTTTTAACGAATTGTTATGAAGAAGAAATGTTCATACAACAGATAAAATGATCTGACCCAAAATACTATTAAAAACTGTTTAAAACAAAAGGTAAGAGAGTTCGTTGTTCACAGAAGTGATATACGGTTGCATACATTCAAAAGTAGACGAAAAGAGATAGTTTAAAATAATTAGTTTTCTTGGGTTGTTGAGAGGAAATTATTTGAAGTGCCTCGTGCTTGGTTAAAAGCCGATAATATAATTGGCGAGTAATTTGACACTAAGAGAAACTTCAATGCTGGACGCGGTGAACAGAAACGAAACCTTTTACATGAATTTAGACAATCTCCTATTAATTTAATTTTTCTCCTCATTTTAGATCAAAAGGTATTTCGCATAGGCTCGCTAATTTCTTTTTCTTCGCTCAACGGCCAATTTCTGTGGTGACAGAATATATTTCCGTCTTCTTCTCAGCTCACCGGTTAATCTCTGTGAAGGCAAGGTTTTTATTGGTCCAAAGAAAATTTCACATAGGTCTCTGAATTCCTTTTCGCCTTTTTCCGAGTTCTCCAAATTTGAATGCAGTGTTCAAAGGGAGTTACTATTATTTCATACTTCCTACAACCCGTTCCAAAACGAGACGAAGGTGCTCTATCCTATTAACTGATACTAAGTGCGAACTGTTAATTCTCAATCATTTTTCCCATCCTAAATTTGATCGCTTATGCAGGATATTTACTCAAACGATTTGCTGCGTCAACATGCAAATGACGATGACGTGAGTTTATACGAAATTAGCGATAACTTAACGCAAGTGTAGTGGATCTACGTGAATATTTAAGATTGTGCTGCAAATAAAATATGCAATATCCACAAACATAAATTATAAGAAATGGCCAAATGGTAACGATATTCAATCACGACAAAAAATACATGTTTGAAACAACAGATTAAATTTTATATACACAATTTACAATTTCTTTGTTTTTAATGATATGTGCAAAAGTATATTTTAGAGAAAAAGTTCTTTGCTGTTTCGGAAATGTTCAAAGTCTAAAAAGTTGTCTGCCTTTGATTAAAAAGGTTGAAATTAACTTAGACAAAAGATTTTTCTATAAATGATATTGAGTGAAAAAGTTTGTTGTGTAAATTTTTATAATCTCTCATAAAGAGAGTTTGTTTCTTTGGCAGCAATTTGACACATAATTCCCGTGAGTGAGTTTCAAATGCGACGAAAATTCATTTGCTATTTCTATTTATAGTTTTTTTTTTAACAACAAAATCGGCTCCAGCAGCTTGGTAACTTGTTGCGAATTTTTCTGAGAAATGCGTGGGCGAATGTTGTATTCTTTTTTATTTTTTATCCAATAGGATTTCGTGAAACGTTTAAATTAGGGATGAATTTGAGAAAGATTTTTTTATGTCGGTTGAGCCTATTTTTGCACAAATTTTGACTGTTTTGTTATGGAAATTTCTTGAAGCTTATTTTTATTTAACAACCAATGAAATTCAAGAAAATGTTTGAAAATTTAAATGAGGGTTACTAAACAAGCATCTTTTTTTTCTGTGGAAAGTAGATAAAGTAAGTTATTCTCACCAATTTCACTTTCGGCGCCTAAAATAAAATAAGTGAGCAGATTTCAAATTTTCCCCTGACCGGTCGCGCTCGCTATAGCACACATTCCAGATATGGAACGGCAGAGTAGACTGAAACAAGGGGAATGCTTAGTTTTGGTATCCATTCTAGAAAGACTATTTCGAATTCAAAACTGTCGAGAAGGCAATGGGAAACCTCTCCACTACCTTTCTTGAGAATCTATACTTAGTGAAAAGAGCCATGATCGTCAACGTCCTGATGGAATATGGCAAAAATACATTTAAGAAGTTGACCAAAGAGTTACGAAAGATTAAAAATAAAATATTTAATATCTTTTTGTTAATAATCTTTTCTAATAATTGAATAATTTGAAATTACATTCATTTTGTAAAAGAAATAAAATACTGTTTGATTGTTAAAGCCTTCTGAGTCTTTAGAAGCATAACAACTTTTAAACTGTAAGCTTAAGTGATATTCAAGGGAGACTAATCTAAAAAAAAAGGCTAAGAGTTATTTCCCCTAGTAGGAATTTCTTTTCAGGTGGTCGCTTTGTCTTTCGCAAAAATAAGTCCTAATATTTATCATTTATTTAGAAAATTCATGTCATGGTGAATTCAGTTTTGTTTTTGTTTTATACCTTTAAGATCTCTTTTGCTCTCCCTTGAGCATTATAGTCATTCTCCCTTTTGTAATATTGTCATCTTCTTTTTCTTTGCCACTTTAGCCATACATTCGATTCATAATCTACAACTGAGCACTCCATGTACTGTAGCCTGCTGAAATCGTTTTTGAAAAAAATATCGAGGTGGATAACATGGCTAGATGCCAACATATATTTTTTTTTAAATTCAAAGAATGAGAAGACCACCAATGTGACTTGGGAATCACAAGTAGTTAGTAGACTTGTAAAAACTCTCAATCGGATAACGTTCTACTGAGCAGACTGGGTTACTTTCACGGAATTACGCATGTGCTGCTTTATCAAAGCCTGTAAGCATATTGCGTACATTTGGCTGCTTTGGTGCATATGCCAGTTGAGGAAATAAATCCTATTTACAACACAATTACATACATACCATATTAAAACACTTATTTTCAACCCAACAGAGATTTATAAAACTAAACATACAAAAAGAAGTTCGACAGTACAACACACGCCGTTTATTGGTTAGAAATTAAACATCATGTGAAATACTTGACCAATCAGAAAAAACTAAAATTCATATTTTTTCTCTGATCAGAGTGTCATGAAGAACGGTATATTGGGCTTTGTAAATACAACAGTTGTACTCCAGCGTCATTTTGTGGGCATACTGCTCCTTTCATTAAGCAACAACAACAGCAAGAGTAGCCTACAACAACAACAATCATGATGATGATGATAGCATACGTTCATAGAGCAGTGTTTCTCAACCTTTTTCGCTTCAGGGCTCACTTGTCGAATAACTTAAAACTCTGGGACGCACTTGAAATTTTCATAAGGAAAAATAAGTCTTGAAATGTGAAAATGATAAAGAAGTCTCCTGAAATAAGTATTTATTTTTAAGACAATACAATAACATTGCTTGGTTTCCCTAGCTTTTTAAAAATAAAGATTTTTTTTAAATATAAAAATAATTCATAAATTAATCTTCTGTTAATTTAAGGCGCACCTGGCTACCTTTCAGGGAGCTATCAGTGCGCATGCCCGAGCGCTGATTTAGAGGAAAAAAACAACCTGATTTCGAAGTAAAAGTAACCGAGGACTGTGATTTTTTTTTTTTTTTTTTTTTTTTTGTTTTTTTTGTTTTTTTTTTTTTCTTGTAAGTTGTAGAATAATTTCTAAAGAATATTATAGATGCACCGTTTTTATTTTAAAAACAGTGTGTCTAGACTCAGCTTGCTTAAGTTCGATCCCTGTCGGAGAATACATTTTCTTTACTAAGATTTCTCGAATGCGCGGGCCAATATGATAACAATAAACACTAACACACTGTTTCAAAATAAACATGGGGTGTCTATTTCAAATATGAGTGTCCAGTCCACTATAATAACTTTTTAGTACCTCATCGGACTAAAAAGTGATTTTTACATTGATGCGCACGAAGACGGTCGCTGACAATGAAATGTTAACTAACATTTTCAATTTTTTTTTTTTTTACTGTGTGTTTGCAGCGTTTCGGTATATACAAGTTTTTAGTCATTAGTTTCTTTTTGTTTATACGTTTATTTTTTCTTATTCACGTATACATTTTGTTTTTGTAGATCTGCCAAGAAAGGTGAAATATTCCGAAAGAAATTTAGATGATATAGCCATTGAAGCACATAAAAGTTTATTTCCCATAATAATAGTTACGAATGGGTTTTGAAATTTAATATCTAACAACAAAAAAGATCAATAATATTCTTTTTGGTAAAAAAATAAATAAATGCAGAATAACGCCGCCTGTGCACACATAATTTCGGATACTTATCCATTTGATTGAATTTATGAAAAGGGAATATTTTAAGAAACATTTGAGGACATTTAAAGCCAATCTTAGTCAGTCTTAATTTTTAAAACTTTATTTGAACACGTATTTACATTTTTTTTTTTAATTTAAACTTAAAACCCCAAAGAAATCAAATCAAGTAAAAATTTAAATTAATGCACACATGTGAAGTCTGTATTTTTACCTTCTTTTTTTTCACTTTTTCACCTCAATTTCTTTACATTATTAATTTGTTGTAAATTTATTTTAGAAAAAAAGTTAAAATAATCAAGTAATTCTTTGGAACGTAGTCGGAACTTTTTAGCCAGTGATTGAATTTTCAAGGGAGATAAATGCTTCTCACCCGTTGGGTCTACACCGGAAATATTTTGAGAAGAGCACGTGCATTTTGGATTGTACTTGTTTGTTTATTTAACTTAAATCAGATCAAACCAATATAAAATTAATTACAATAGGTAAATATGTTTTCCTTGGGAGTCAAATCTTTGCTTCACAAGCACAATTTATTCTATACGATGTTACAAACACCCGCAAAATGGTGTTTTCTTTGTAGTCGGGTCTATAATAATAACAATCCACGATATTTGTCTTTTTCTTGGTCTTATAAAAATGCATTTTTTGTGTCATGTCGTGGATTAAGCACCGCATTTCCAAAAGAGAAAAATATTTCAGATGCCATAAGAAGTCGCCGGAAAAGAAAGGTAAACAATACTCGCCGTCCTGTCTCTTTTAATGTAGCCGGCTCTATTTATTCCTCGCATGGAATATCTGATTCTGCTGCCGGCGAGGTTAACACGAAGACGACGTCGAGTGGAATCGGTTTAAAAAGTCGTCGCCCGCATATCCCGTTGCAGATGATTAATTTTAAAGAGATACGTAACGAAATGCTTTTACAGATTCTGAAAGATGAGGTTTTGTCCCCTACCAAATATTCTCTGAAACAAATCCGCAAATTGGAAAATGCATTCGTTTACAAGCTTAAAGAATTGACCATTCACGAAATGTTTTCGGTTGCAAGATGCTTCTTTCAGATCTATCACCGAGCACCCAAATACCTGACAAGTTTGTTTGAATATATCGACAACAATTTCGACGAGGTTGTGTCCATTGAAGAAGGCAACCTCTTGTCCCAAACTATGTTTTACATTTATTTTCATGGCAGTTGCCCGGAAAACCTTTTGCAGAAGATTGAAGATCACCTGTTAGTAAACGTGAACGAACTCTCTATGAACGATATAAGTCTAGCTTGTCTCGGTTACTTTAGGGCCAACCGGAGAATCCAGTCTTTTCAACTGCTGGATCAAATTGCCGAAAAATCTATTGAAAAATTCCACAGCCTTGAACCTCAGTATCTTATTCACATGTTAAAATCCTTCCGGCATGCCGGTTACTCGAAGATTACTTACTTTGAAAGGCTTGCCGATCTTTTGGTGTCGAGTAAAACAGTGTGTGATTTGAAACTCAATCAAGTCATGCATATAATGATGTCATTTGCTTCTACAAAGATTTATCAACCCAAGTTGACTCATGAATGCATACAACGATCTGTCGAACTGGTTCAGTCTTTATCATCAGTGCGCACAAAGGATCTAGGAAAAATTGTATGGGCTGCCGGAACTCTTGGCATTGACGATCAGGACCTAAGTAAAGTGAAAGCCTTAGTTGATGCCCACAGTGAAATTGAAAAGTCAATCGACCGAACCCGCAGTGTGATCGAGTACCCTGAATCTATAAGCGATACAGTCGTAGGTTCCGCTTTTCTAAAAATATTTCCTCAGGAACTGATTAGTTTGATGTTAGAAGAAAAAACAGTCCGCATCCTTCAAGGTAGGTTGAATTTTTATTACTTGCACTCCGGCTCACTCACTCTGTGATGTTTTAGTGGTTGCACTTGTCATTTGTTTTTTAACATTGGAGTTAATGTCTGCCAGCCTAGAAATTAAGAGTCTTACCGTACAACATGAAATGTTCTTTGTGATAGTAATTTGGGAATATCACACTGAACCCTCCTACATTATTTACATTATTCGGACTATTGTCCTCATCTTTGTCGCCATATTTATCACAACGTTTCAGCCGTTGTACGCTCTTCAGGTGGGTGGAATTTCGAACTGAACCCTGTAGACTGCCATGTTTGATGGATGTCACTTATGAGTTATCTCGTGCTAATTTCCCTCTGAAAGTTCTCCACTGCCTTAACCGGGTATTGAACTCACACTCTTGTCACTGGATCTAACCAACACCTTTATCCACTGTGCTATGTGTCCTTGAGGACATCTGGGTATGAATTTCCGGGTATTATAAACCGAATGTCCTCAGCAATCATTTTTACCAGTGCTCATATTGCAATTTTGCTGTTATCATTGAATGTTTTTACCAGAGCTCATATTGCAACTTTGTTGTTATCATTGCTTTTCTCTGGCACTCCTTATTATTGGTTCCCATATTGTATTTATTTCTATGCTTGGTCAGCTCAGGAGATTTCTGTGGCCTAGCACATGTGCTGATTTCTTAAGTTTACAAATTTTCCAATGGTATCTAGGGATATCTCTTCTTATTTTCAGTTGCTCATTTATTACTTGCCCTGTTTCCACTGAGTTCAAGTACACAGTGCTTGACTCAGTCGTTGAACTTACAACCATATAGGACTTACAGGACAATGGCCTAGTGGATTAAAGCATTGATTTTTGAATTTGGTTAAGTTGAATCAGCTAATAATAAATCCGTAGAGGCTTGTGAGTACTCATCTTTCCATTTTGATGCATTCACTTAATTTACACTATATTCGGACTATTGTCTTCATGTTTGTTGTAACTTGTACTCACCAAGAAACTCTATTTGGATGGGGGAAGCGATGGCATTTAAACAGTTGTGTGATGGTCAGTCAAGGTAAGACTATATTTATTTCTGACTGTTACAGAAATTGTGGCACAAGGCTGAAGGGGAAGTGTGGAAAGGTTGGTCATCAGTAACTATCTTAGTCCCTAGTTAATCAAAATCACAAACCATTCATTCAAAACAATGTACTCAGTCACCACAAGAACTTGTCCATCACCTCTCAATTCTACATATTCACAGAAGACCTACAAAACATCCCATGATGTAAAAATTTCAATAAATGTTAAAAAAGATTTTTTTCCCCCTATTTTCTTTCTTTTTAAAAAATATATAAAAATTTCATGAGACCTAGAATGATGGGGGCAGCTGGAGCAACGCAAGCAGCAGCTGCTGTTTGGGTTGCTCCAGGAGCCTCCACCATATTGGAGGGGTTCCCTCCCCAGTACCAATAAAAACAAAGTTCACAGGACAAAAATAAGCACAGCAATTAAGCAAATAACACAAAGGGTCAATACATGGACAAAAAGTAACACTTACGTCTCACAACTCTCAAGACAATTTCCAAAAGAAAAATGCCAGAAAGAGAAGGGAATGTTTGCAAAAACTTCCCCGCCTCTTAGGGTTGGAAGTACACAAAATGCATGATGGTCAGTCAAGTAAGAGGCAAGGAATCTGTTTCTCCTTGTCGACTAGTTTTGATATTTGTTGTTGTAGTAGATCCTATTTGATTGGATGGATGCGACTATAATGAATTTAAATGAGACCTTCTGGAAAGCTATAAAGGAAATCCGTTTCACCCTCCAGATGGTCCTTTAAGTCTGTTAGTACATTATATAATGTTATATACTATTACAAGGATAGATGTTGCTTGTAAGCAATGAGGCAGTTCGCTGCAATCTCAAACTGTTATTACCCAGTGATGTGTTAAAGTGCTGCTGCAACAGGTAGAAGTTTCATCTTTTTTTCTCCTTTCACATCAAGTTTCGGACACAACACTTCTGAGTTGCCTACTTGTCCAATTTTCACTCTCCCCCAATCTGTTATCATAAAAAATTCGAGATCTTTGTTGTTGTTATCATGACATTTTGGTGATTGCGCCATTTTGCCTTATCAGTACAGGTCACCTACAGGGAATTCCAAACCAAACACTTTATTTAATTCATAAGGGTTCAGACTGTTCTTGTTCCACTGCACATGTCTAAGAATATCTCATTTAGTTCTTATTTTTAGTACTGCTCAGTTATTGCTCACTTTGTTTCCACTGAGTTCAAATACACACTTCCTAGCCCAGGGATTGAACTCATAATTTCTATGTCATTAAATTCACAAATTTATGCTTTAATCCACTGTACTTAAAGGTTCTTGTAACAGAGAATGGGGTCAGTCCAATAAGAGACTTAGAGTCGTGTGTGGTGTTGTATGCTCTTCCACAATGGGCTGTTGAGAAAAGACACTTTACTGTCAGTAGGTGGCACTGACTATTTGCATATGAATGGTACTGGGAAGGTATCAGTCAAAAGTCAGCATGGGTTTGGAACTGGGAGAGCTATATAACACTAGTTTTTTCTCGATCGAAAGGAGCACTCTCAATGTGTGGACATGTGGAAAACCAGGCAAGATGAACACAGTTCTTGTGTAAGTGGCTACACAGTGTCTTATTCTATCATCAAATACTAACTTTGCCTTTTTGAGGACTCACTTACACTCGTTACAAGCATTGTCAAAGAGACATCTGTTACAAACAAATTATACTTGTGAGCTATAGTGACAGGAGAGAACCAAGAAGATTGTGGTTTCAGTTGGTATTTCCGTCCTGGAAAAAAAACTTTGGTACCGATTTTTACACAGGAAGAGCCTTCAATGGCACATTTCTAAACAGGATGATAAAAAATATTGTTTCAAGGGGCATTGAGAAGAAAATCATGAAACTAGTCCCTATCAGTGCATTGATAACAGAAAGATTCTTTTAATAGGCAGGTTTGTGCTTGATGGGAGAGTGGAAAGAGAGTTGTCAAAAGGACAGAGCTGCAGTGTATGACATGAGTCTAGGGAGGAGATGAGGAAAATATGTAGGGAACTGAATCCATCAGAGTTACTAGGGAAATATGTGGGGAACTCTACTATTTGAGTGAGAGATTGAGCAAATAAAAAGTTCAAAGTCTGGATGCCAGCCAGATCAGTGACAGTAGAGTGATGAAGCCACTTGACATGATGGGCATTGAAGTTGCCGAACATGAAGAAATTTGCAGACAAGTGTAGAAAGAGGGCCTGTACTATCAGAAATTCTATCTAGCAAGCAACAGTCAAGAGAAGAAGTGGAACGATAAAGGAAGAAGAGATAACTGACTGAGTTTAGTATCTGTCTATATTTCTGAGATGAGGTATTATTTACACTATTTACATTATTCAGACTAGTGTCCTCATCTTTGTTGCCATGTTTATCACATTTTAGCCATTGTATGCTCCAGCCTTATTCAGGTAGTTGGCATGTTGAACTGAACCCTTTATTTCGCTCACTGGGGTAGACTGTTCTAGTTCCACATGTCATGTCTAATGGATGTCAGTTGTCAGTTATCTTCTGTTAATTACCCTCTACAAGTTCTCCACTGCCTTAACCAGATATTGAACTCACATTCTTTGGGTCCTGTCACTGGATCTAACTAACACCTTTATCCACTGCGCCATGTGTCCTTGAGTGTATTAATTTCTGGGTACTATAAACCTAATGTCTTCACACCATTTTTTACCAATGTTCATATTGCAATTTTTGCTGTCATCATTGCATGTTTTTAACCAGAGCTCATATTGCTGAGGTTTCCTCAGATTTCATCCAAATTTTCACCATTTGGTAACATTCATCAGAGGAATTGATCCTCAGTCTCAAACAGATTTTATGCCAGATTTTCTTGTTTGTTGGAGACATTTTCAGGATGGACACTTCTTGAATATGGCTGGAATGACCCTAAGGGCAAAAATTCAATGAAAATTCACTGAACTTGTTGCTGTCTATGGTTAACATATAATAAGCAGGAAAATGATATTGGTTTAGTATGTTCACAGAGAGGCATAGGAAACTAATGGAGAAGCCAACTACAATGTGTTCATGTTGATCAAGAATAGAAAATGAAAATTGCATATGTTGAAGCTTTGAGTTAAGGTGGTAGACACAGCAAGCATCATGAAATGACTGTGACACTTGATCTGAAGTTGGTAGTCTGAAATCATCCACAGAAAATTGGGGTATCTGTCAGATATCTTTGAGGATCACTTTATATATGAAACTGATGATGAATGAAAGTTGTGGGTCAGTTTGGTTTTATATATATATATATATATATATATATATATATATATATGAATTTTACTACGTTAATAAAAACACTGATTAAAAATAAATAAATAAATAAGAAACAAAAATAAATAAAAACAAGCAAAATAATTTAACCCAAATAAATAAACGACTTCGGTAAAATAACCACCATAATAGACTACCCACAATGCACCACTGACCCATATATAGATAAATACCGAGAAAAATAACAGCACACGTGGCCTGACGATTACATATAGCATGAAACAGACTGTCGCCTCTAAGTGTTGACTTCTATATTCACTTTTATATATATATATATATATATATATATATATATATATATGCATGTGTTTCATGCCTGTTGGTCATTCTTCTTCTACAGTCTGTTTTAATTTCATTTCATAAGTATAAAAGTTTTTCAAACACCATGGCATATGAACCCATGTTCATTTCAATCCCTGAACATTAACAGTCTCTCTCTTTCTCTATATATATATATATATATATATATATATATATATATATATATAGAGAGAGAGAGAAGAAACCGGAAAAATTTATCTTAGCCAAAATATTTCATTCTCTGAGGGATGTTATCAAGGCAATGAAGGCACACTGCTCACCATTTTTCTGTTATCAATTCTTCCAAAGACTCTCTGATTCTGCACAAATGTTC